ACCTATCAAACTCAATCCATAACTTAGTATTTCTATTTGAAAAATTTGACTATGTCATATCGGAAGTTGCAGCTTCCGTTCCCAGCAATGCCTCCTTCTGAACCCTCCCAACAATTTAGAGTTTGGTTAATTGCATCACCAAGACACTTCTTGCAATCACTGCTAGAAAGGTCTCTGGTGCACTGAGCCAAACCGTAAAGTTTCTTTGATCCCTCAAGCTTTAGCTCTCCCGTTGCATACAATTTAGGGTTCACAGAAGCTTTCTGAGCAAGCTGACTCAATAATTCTTTAGTCTTGTAGTTGAAAGTGGAAGGGTCTTTTACGTTAACCCCAATCCTTTTACAGAACATGTTTGCTTCGTCAATATATCCAAAGAAATTTGTATCCACATACTTAAGAGAGCAGTACTCAGCCCATATGAGGGCACCTTTTTGGTAAGGGCAGCGAGTGCGGATTTCTTTGATAGCCCCAGAAACACAAGTTTTGCATTCTGAGGTTGAAACATCGCCCCTACAAAGAGCGAGTCCATATACTCCTTGTTGGTTTTGGTAATTGCCAGCTATGCTAACACTAAAACCTGTTGGAGGGGTGTTGTGGATAAGTGAGTTGCTGAGCGTTTTCAAGTATGATCCATAGGGACTATGAGAAGTGAAGCTATCTGATCTGTCACAGACGAAGAGATTTTGGGCTCCAAAAGATGTTTGGAGGATGAGAGCAAAGGTCAGGGAGAAGAGAATAATGGTAAAGAGCTTTGAGGAGGAAGACATTTTGGATGAAAGTGATCGAGGAAATATTTGTTTATGATGGTTTTGCTTATGGAATTGTGGAGGAGGAGACTATTTATAGAGAAAATCCTTTACTTGGCCTTTGAGGAAAAGTTTAAGTAGTTGACATTTTTTATTACCATTTTAAATAGCCTGATAGGCAACGCCATGTCAAAATTTGGCCATGCTTAAATATTTGGAAAGGTTTAAAATTTCTAAAATTACTTTAGATAACTTTATCTAATGTTCACCAAAATATACATAAGTGCTTCAATCAAAATACATATAACTTTATCTAATGTTCAATTAAAATTGGCAAAGTTATATATCATTTCAATCCATGACTTTTTTAATATTTCTTTGAGTCTTGAAAGTTTTCTAATTTTGGGAGTGATGTACTATGAAACACCGATACTTTAAAAACCCTGACGTGTGTCGTGTCCGACACTTTCCGACACTCCGACACTCTCCGACACTCCAACACGCGTTATAGAAATTTAAAAAAGGGTTCAAAGGTTGCGTTGCGTTGAGTTTTTAGTTCCAACTATTAGATTCGTTGAATTACAATTACCATTTTATTGAATTTAATATAAATATTTGCGATATCTTATATTTTTTTGTAAAATTGATGAATATTTTAAGTTTAGTTTAATTTTTTTATTAAATTATTGAATATTAAATATAATATATACTACATAAATTAAAAATATTATTTAATATCAGAATGTGTCCTAACGTGTCGAAATCTAACATTTTTTAGAATTAACGTGTCGGAGTGTCGTGTCGTGTCACGTATCCCGTGTCAGTATCGATGCTACATAGGTGATGTATATACCAGGAAACCCACATCCTAACCCGCAACATTAGGGCCTTGATTTAAATGCCCATATCCCTGATATAATCAGAATTTGCCTACCGCATTATAACTCATGCTTTCAAGATGAGATTAAGACTGGGTCTTATTTTCTTTACCATCCTAAATATAAATGACAGACAGCTGCATATCTGCAATTATCATAATAAATATCATTCATATGTATAATTAGCTCTCTAAAACATGGTAGATTTAGTTAGATTATAAATGAGAGGCATCAACTAGAATTTTATATATGTTTCTTATTATGATTAGACTAATCAAAGTTATTTTATTCAGAATGTGTGACGCACTCAATGCATGTTTCAAATTTTTTTTTTTGCCTTGATACTGTTTGTTTGTTTGTTATCTGATGTCAACCTGAGATCATCTGTTTTATATATGCACAACCATAAAATTAGAGTATGACTAGCTAAGTATGATGTAGTTCCCATGCGGGCCGGAACGGCAAACCTCACACATCGTTCGCACACATGAAATTGAATTTGGAACTAAACATCCAATGATTATCTTTATAAATGAATGTGACTGATGTTCCAACTTAAATAAAAAGTTAAGCAAAAGCAGACATGCACGCAGTTGATAATGAGAGTTGAAATTCAGGGTGTAGTGGACAATAAAATTGTAATTGTTTTTCCAGAAGATCATTTGTGCATAAAATTGTTAGTTTCGGTGGTATTGACTTAAGAGATCGATTGCGACGCTTCAGGGATCCGGATTAAAACTATTCTCTTTCGTCAGTCATTCATCTTTGATAAACATATACATATATGCCTGATTAGAATATCAAATTTTTTAACAATCTTTATAAAAGGAAAGTATTTGAGAGAAATATATATGGAGTGAATCCTCTCGTATGTTATTTAATATGATCATATGATATGAGAGATGATTTTCTTTTTTGATAAATGAGATATGATTTTTTTATTTTTATTTTTTGGATAAAACAAAGGTGATTTTAACCAGAGTGAATCAATAGTGATAATTTTATAATTTTATATTCTAATATTTTTTATTCTATTTTCTTATCATCGTTAATTCACCATATTTATAAAAAAGAAATAGAGAATAGAAGGTTTAGCGACGGTGGAGAAAATAAAAATTTAAAGAATGTTGGTTTAAAAAATGCACACAAAACAGAATACCTGAAAAATAATCGAAAATTTTCTTCAATGTGCTACCAAATATGAGATTTTAGAAAAATCCACCCTCACTTTTTCGGACATCTAAAAATAATCTTCCTACCAAACACCCCCTGATCTCATTCTCTCTGCATTTTTTACTCTCACTCTCGTGATTCTGTAGCATTACGATTGGAAGACCATCATTGGCATTATCGAAGATTTGTCTCCTTTGAAGACAAAAATCAGTTCATCAAATTCGGAGGCCACTGGTCCCAGGTCTTGAGTTGTTTTCGGCCTTCATCTTCTTCGTTAGGGATTGTTTTCGATCTGTTGACTGTCGTCCCATGATTTATTGTATTTTTGAAATGTTGTAGGATATTCTTGATTTTCCAATTCTTTTTGTCGTCCAACCTACCATCCATCGAGCTCATCACATTTAAGGGAAAGTTGGATTGAGCTCATCACATTTAACTGTCATGCCCTAACAATCTCCCATAGACAAACACTAGGGTGTAAGGATCCACACCAACAAACTTTGATACCATGTAACAAAACTATTTCACCGTATCATCAAAAAGAAAAAGAAAAAGAAGAAGCCTAAGCCTATTTCACCAAAAAAACTTAAGTTATTAGATAAATGTCACAATAATGCTTTTATATTATATTTCGAATTAAAAGTTTAAGTTTTTGAGTTAAAATACTCATTTATATGGTATATAAGTCTCTTGTGGCCAAGCGGTCACGATTTTGGTCCTCACTATCTTTCATTCTAATAAAAAAATAATTAAATATTGTGGAGTTATTTAGCACAGGTAGGTAGGACAAGATGCATGATTCATTGTAAGTCCAATGTACTTTTGTGTATGGGAACGTATTAGAGAGATACATTATATATGAAACCATTAATATGACCTTCATCTAATAGCTTAAGCATTTAGATAAAATGTTTCTTCAAATGGTATCAAAGCCTATAGTCATAGGTAAAATCTCATCTCCATCATTCTATTAAAAGAATAAAAATTGAATATTAACAAGTAAGCGGGGTTTGATGCATTGTTCACCGTTCAAGATAGGGGTGTTCATGAACCGATTCAAACCGCGGTGACCGAACCGAAAAATCGATAATCGAAAATCGAAAAAAAAATCGCAAATTTTAATTGAATTGGATCAGTTTTCGGATTGTTTGATGAAAACCGATTCAATCCAAACCGATCCAATATATTAATTTTTCTCTACATACTCAGGCCTTTCCCTAATCATAGCTCAAAAATTTCTAAACTCAAGATCCATTAACCCATCAACTAAACTCAAGAAAAAACCTATTCACATCTCATCAATAAAATTTCATTTGTGTAGAGCTTCATATCTCATTGCCCAAAAAAAAAAAACTATATTATCGTTTAATGATGCTTTTGTAATTCAAAAAAAAAAATTTACAAAGCCAATATATACAAAAGATGTTATTTGCACAATAATCAGGAAACAAATTTTAGGATTTTCAAAAAACCGAAAACCGTTCCAATCCAAACCGAAAAAAAATTGGATTGGATTGGATCGGATTTGAAAAATAATCCAAACCGAAAGAAATGAATCAGATGATTTTTGTTTTCAAAATCGATGCCATCCAGACCGCGAACACCCGTAGTTGAAGCCCAATGAACTCTGGTGTGAGAGGGCAAGTTATAAAGCAATATAATATAAAATCATCAAAATCCTCATCTAAAAACTTAAATTTTTGGGTTAAGTTAATTCTTTTACATTATATTTCTTAAAACTTTCATCTTTTGATTCATCTTAAAATATTCTGTGCTTTGCTCCCTCCCATCTTTCCATGCTTTTTCTTCTTCTGGGTCATGTTAAATCCAAATTCTCTTCTTATTCTTCGCCCCGATGATTCTGCAGCCATGTTTGTATTCAATCAATTTTCCTCATTTTAATTTTAAACCCTAGTCCTAACTCCAACTTTGCCCATTGTGCTGCTAGAAACAAGGGTGATGGAAAACAACGAAGATGACAGATAATTAAGGTGGGAGAGGGTGAATTGAAGAGAGAGAAAAATTTACACCAATTAAGATCCAATGGATCTAATATAATCTAACGATATATCAAATTTTTTGTTTTTTAGTTTTTTTTTTAGTACACCATATATCAAATTTATTTTATTCACGCAAAAATAGTAAGCTTATCTTAATGCGAATGAGATCAACCTATCAAGGCCAATCCATAAGATTAGAGTATTTACTCTTTGAAAAATGGGTATGTCTCATATCGAAAGTTGCAGCTTCCACCCAAAATTCTGCCTCCTTTAGCCCCCTCCCAACAATTTGGAATTGGGTTAATTATATCATCAAGACACTTTTTGCAATCACTGCGAGAAAGGTCTTTAGTGCATTGAGTCAACCCATAAAGTTTTTCTGATTCTTCAATCTTTAGCTCTCCGGTTGCATACAATTTAGGGTTCACAGAAGCTTTCTCAGCAAGCTGGTTCAAGAACTTTTTTGTCTTGTAGTAAAAAGTGGCAGGGTCACTTCCACTATTCCCGATCCCCGTATAGCAGTACGTGTTTATTTTGTCAATATAACCAAAGAATTTTGTATCCAAGTACTTAAACATGCAGTAATCATACCATATGATGGCACCTTTGTTGTAAGGGCAGAGACTGCGAATTTCTTTGGTAGCCTCAGAAACACAAGTTTTGCAATCTAAGGTTGACACATTGTTAGCTATAAATTATGATTATTTTAATGGCTTTATTTTTACAATATTTGAGTTGAAGGCTGGATATTAGTGCATGGTAATGGGCCAAATGAATGCCAATCAGCCCAAAGGTAAAAAAAGAGAGAAAGAGATAAACTGATGATTTACTACTCTCTTTTATTATTTTTACTGCAGTTTGGAAGCAAGATCAACTCTTTGAAATCAAGATCAAATCTGAACCATTGGATGGACATAGAGATGGATGGACAACAGTGCATTTGGAGGCAGCTTTATAATTTTTAGTTAAATAGGAGTCTGAGTCATTTTAGGGTCAGATACCGTATTTGTTAGTTTCAGTTTACGTTTTAGAATTTTGTATTTTCTCTCTTCAAATCTGAGTGTTTGTCTTGAAAGCTGGTGCATGTTCTTCAATTCTTGATCTCGAAGTGCATTGACAACGCACCTTCAAGGAAAGGAATCACGGATCTGCATGCGAGCTATTGTTTTCATACTACTGCAAGTTTTCTTCCTAGCTCTAGTTTAGGAACTTTGACTCTTGAAGAACCGGTTTGTAACTTTACTTTGAGTTTTCTTTCATGAATGTTTGTGATGCATGTTTCTTTACTTTTAGATTTGTAATATTTTTGAATATGGGTTTCTGATCTTTTCCTTTCTGGGATTCACGATGATTGGGTGATCTTTTATTTTTCTGAATACTGTGATGGTTTGCTTTAGTTTCATTTGATTAACAAGATTTTGATTTTAAGTTCAAGAACACCATGGGAATGGGTCTTGAATAATTTTTGCATAACTGTGATTGGGAAATCAGGTTATGTCCCTTGTTAATTGAACCCTTGAGGTTAGGGATAACCCAAGGAGGTCTTTGATACAATTTTTAAAGATTTAGAAGACTTTGGGAAAAGATCCTTCTAAAGATTAAAATCTGGAACTGGGAAGTTTCAGATAAAATAGCCATAGTAATTCGAATTCTGATACTAAAGTGCCGTAGCAGTTATAAAACGCAGGAATGCGAAATTTTTCCTTCATCCATGATTCAAAGAATTCCAGAACCTTATAATTGATACATTTGTGATTAGATATCTCTCTGTTAAATTTTGTTTAATGCAAGTTTGATAAATACCTTGTTTGATTTAGAATTTTCTTAGTTTTAAAAGATTGATCACTTAATTTCAAGAAATTAGAAATAGGAATTAAAAAAGGAAAACTAAACAACCTGTTCCCTGAGAACGATAACTCTTTCTTTTGAGAAAAATACTATCCAACACACATCACCCCTGCAAAGAGCGAGTCCATATACACCATTAGCAAGTCCATATACTCCATGTTGGTTTCGGTATTTACCAGCTATGCTAACACTAAAACCTGTTTGAGGAGTGCTGTAGATAAGTGAGTTGCTAAGCCTTTTCAAGTATGACTCATAGGGACTGTTTTGTGAGAAGTACTCTGAGCTTGAGCAGAAACGGAAGAGAGGATTGGCTCCAGAAGATGTTTGGAGGATGAGAGATAAGGTAAGGGAGAAGAGAATAATGGTAAAGAGCTTTGAGGAAGACATTTTAGATGAAGGTGATCGATCAAAGAAATATTTGTTTATGATTGTTTTGCTTATGGAATTGTGAACATGGAAAATATTTATAGAGAAAATCCTTTACTTGGCCTTTGGGGAAAAGTTTAAGTAGTTGACATTTTCTATTGACCATTTCAAATTTTAAATAGCCAGATAGGCAACACCATGTCATTATTTGGCCAAGCCTTAAATATTTGGAATTAGGATAATGTCTCTGATTATCTTTGGCATCATCGTAGTAATCACCCGCGCGCGCGTGTATGATCGAGTAGTTTTGGATTTCTGTGACCTAGCACACTGATTTCCATGAAAGTAATCTTTCAGTGGTATGCACCACTTGTGGAGAAACCAGGAGGGGAATTGTCAAATAAACTGATAATTTTTTAAAGGCAATAGAACTAATTACCCCTATATACATCTTAACTAGATATGTGTAGAATGTAGATAAAAGCTTATAGACAGTTAAATTATGATGGTTGAAAATTGAAATGTTGCCGTATATCCATATATATATATATATATATATACACGGTAAACTCATAGCTAGAAAAAACCACTTCTACTAGGTTTTGATCCACTAGGTTTTTTTTTTTTTTTTAATCAATCTGTATAATCTCCCAAATGTTTTACTGAAGTTGTTCCCTTTCATTTTACTTAATGAAATGGAACAAATATTAAACAGTTGTAACATTATATATGGTCTATGCATTACAAACAATGATTACCCGGCCGTTTACTAGTACCTGCCCTTAAGATTACTTGTTCTGGCCTGGGAAAAAAATATCTCTAAACATTAATTCAATGATTAGATGCTCACCAAGCCGTTTTGTTGTGACTTCGACAAGTGCACCAGTCGTACAAATAAAAAGTGTATTGAGTATGAGATCATTTATACGAAAATTACAAATTATTCAATCACTAATTCACTATTTACGCTTAAGTTGGACAAATGATCAAGAGAATTTTATGAAAACTAAACTAAATAACATGCAAGAAAGCAAAATATGAGTAACTTGACAATCAAGAAATGCGGTTAGGATTTCGATTTCCCCTAGTCTCCCCTTTACGTTATGAATTAAAACCTTTAATTGAACATCTTTTCATATCGCCAATCGATTCCCCTAAATTATTTAAGACTCAATCCCTTAATATTCTTATTTTGTACTCTCTTTAAAAATTCCTAGTTCCCCGGTTATTCTTTAAAGAAAATAAGCATTAAACGCAAGAATCATAATGATTGCATAAACCATATGTCTATCCCTAGAATCATAAGAATTACGATGAATTTACCAAGCACGGTTTACGTACCAACATCCCTATTGTTATACTTCCACCATAGATCAATCTAGAAGATCAAAGTTATAAAAGGCATGAAGAAAAGATAAATTCATTCAATATAAAAAAGAAATTTGACATTAAAGATTATTCATAACATAAAGATTTGATTGAGTTCTATCTATCCCTAACTACAAGAAAAATCTAGGCTAACATATGATGGAATCAAGAAAACAAGAAAATAATAAAACTTCCCCAAACTGCATTGGCATCAGGGCGTGGAGAATCTTTAAGGCTTCCAACGTATATAATATTGAATCCAACCAATCTCCAGCTCTCCAAAACATGAACAACGTACTTCTATGATCAAAACTGAACTTCAACTGTCAAGTGTTGTTTGTTTCCTCTAAAAAATAGCTTATATATGTGTAGGAATCCTTGTTTTAGGTGAAAACCACGAAATTGACCTTAGTTGGATCGCAATTGGGTTTTAAAAACGTGCAAACGTGCTATTTTGACAAGAAAATATGATTTTATATTTTGGGCATAACTTGAGCTATACTCGTCCAATTAATGTGATCTTGTCTCATTGGAAAGATAAAAAAGATATCTACAACTTCTATAAAGAACACAAGATCGAAATCTATCATCTTGGATACGAAAAATTGGTCGGAAGACAGCTTAAGAGAGATTTTCAATAAATCATTGCTCCTTATTTATAGCTTTAAGTCCTTTTAGCTTAACCAATGCTCCCATTCAACTCAATTGTCGTACAAAACCAGCAAAAATCATTCACATAAATCAATAATTCAAACTTTGCATTTTCTAGCTAAATAACTTAAGTTTTCTTGTTTTTGACTATATATAAGAGTGATTTTAGTCTTTAAAAACATGATAAACAATGAGTTTTTCACGTTTATCATTTGCACTTATCGGATGATACCTCTCTTTGTTTTACCTTATCTTCATCACCCCATGGAACATTTATAAATGAGTAAGATTCTTGAAGAGTGCATGGACTATAAAAAAAAATCACTTCACATGCCTCTCCTGTTTTTTATTTTTATAATGTTTTGTGATTCACATAAAAATAATGATTTCTTCGTATCATTAGGTCTCTAAATTAAGCATGGTAGATTTATTTGATTATAAATGACAGGCATGAACTAGAATTTTATATATGTTTCTTATTATGATTAGAGTAATCAAAATTATTTTATCTAGAATGTGTGACGCCCTCAACGCATGTTTCAATTTCTTTATGCCTTGATACCGTTCGTTCGTTTGCTATCTGAAGTCAACCTAAGATCATTCTGTTTTATATATGCATTCAGTGGAGCTCCGATTAGAGCCCGTTTTAAAAAATTATGTGTATTTATTTTTTTAATTTTAGTTATTCATATCATAATATATTTAAATTATATTAAATATAGAGCACCTGAGCAGGCAACACGAAGAAGAGTTATAATTTTATTAAATATTTTTAATTTTACTAAAAATATTTTATTTTTTTTATACAAGTGAAATTAAATTGAACACATAATTTAATACAACTTATCCAAATCTCTCACCAAAATTATTTTAAATTTTAGATAGAGCTAAATTACAAATTGTAACCCGAGCCTAATTATAATTTTCACCCGGTCTAAATTATAATTTATTATATAATTATATATAATAAATACAATTTGTTAAAATTTAGCCCGTGCCACGTGGCTCCACTAAGTATGACGCAGTTCCCATGCGAGAAGTATTGGCAAACCTCACACATCCTTGGCACGCATGAAATTGGATTTGGAAATAAATATCAAGGATTATCGTTATAAATGAATGTGACTGATGTTCCAACTTAAGCTAAAATTATGTAAAATACATTATTCTAAATAATTTAGCAAAAGCAAACATGCACCCAGATGATAATGAGAGTTGAAAATCAGGGGTAGTGGAAATTAAAAAAGTAATTGTTTTTCCAGAAGAACATTTGTGTGTTAAATTGTTGACGGTTCTAGAAGATCATGGGCAAAAAAAATTAATTTATTGCAAATTAAATAAAAAATTATTAATTTATTGTTGTTTTCAAATTATTTATGAGTATATTGCAGAATGTCACGTCCAGGTTGAACATAAATACTCACGTCCAATATAGACGTCATTCTCCATAAGAACACGTTATCACACCAATCACGCTTGTAAGAGACGTGACCTTGTAAAAATGAAAACGTTATTCAGCTGTGTACTTAATTTTTTTGCCCAATACAATACAATACATCAAACAAAAAAATAAAATAAAAATAAAAGGGTTTAATTTTCTCATATTGCATGAGAATTCAATTCTCATGTTGTGACTCAACTAGTGGTGGGTCCCACATTTATTAAACAAAAGAAAAAGAAAAGAAGTAAATCAAAAGATCACAACATGAGAATTGAATTCTCTTTTCATGCAATATGAGAAAATATTTTCCTAAAATAAAAACATGGTAATGATAAACTCTCTAAATTATTGGGGAAGACAAAACGAGAATAAAAAAGAAAGCTGCTACCCCTTCTCTCGCTACTAATACCCCAAAACAAAACCGGACAATTACAAATTGTGGAATGAGAATGGCACCAACTGCAAGACAACTGAGGCAAAGGGCAAGTAGTAATTGACCCATCAAACAAACAAAAACCCATGTAGTAGAGAGAGAACTGCCACACTACACTGTGTATATAGTATGTAAACTCCTCCCTACAGACAAACACAACACTCAATTATTTGTGTCCATCTTCTTCCCATTCAGCAGATTTTCTGGTTCTGGGTTCATCTCCCTTTCCCCTTTCCTCATCGTTTTTACCCTTGTTGTGCTTGCGCATTCTCTTGACTTTATTGCACACCATATGTTTGATTAGGGTCGTGAGTGACGCTCACAGTCCCGCAACTAAGAAGAACAAGGAATGGCAAGAGAAGCTGCCTGTTGTTGTTCTCAAAGCCGAAGAAATCATGTACAGAAAAAGAGTGGTTGAATTACAGACGGTGTTGGTACAGAGTTTTGATTTTCGTTTTCAACTAACAAGGTCACGCCTCTTGTAGGCGTGACTGATGCTTGGCTTATGTCTTTTTTGTAATTGGTGTGACGTCTTTTTTAAGCGTATTTTTATGGGTTATGATGTCTACATTGGGCGTGACTACTCACGTCAAATTTGGACGTGACATCTGCAATATACTTGTGAATAATTCGAAAACAACAATAGATTTATATTTTTTTATTTAATTTGCAATAAATATCAAAATTTTGAACAAGCTTATGGAAAAGAAAAAGTATTTGAGAAAAATTGTTGCTACTCACAGCAAGTGTACCGATCGTACAAATAATATACTGATTAAGTAAGAGATCGTTCCCACGAGGATTACGGTTCAAGCACTAATTCACTATCGCAAACTTAGTTGGACAATCGAAGTTGTATTCGGAAACAGAATTTGAATTGCAAAATTAAAATATTAAATATTAAAGCTAATTACTTGCAAGAATTAAAGACAAGAAATTAAAGATGTGATTTAACTAATAAAATAAAAACGTAGCTAGGGGTTCGATTTCATTTAATCTCTTTATTACGTTTGAATTCCTTCTTAATGTTAATTGTCCTTAGTATCAATCTAATCAATTTTTTCGCATGTTATTAGAGTTCAATCCCTTGTTACTCTAAAACCTTTACAATATTGGAAGAACCCTAGT